CTAGAATGAAAAAGAGCACACTTAAAAATTAAGTTATATCAAAGACAACTGTATGTTTCACTGACAAAAATATTTTTAAAAGCTTTGTAATAATTCTATGTGATTTTCATTTATTATAATAATATATAATATTCTTTTTCAATAGTCATAATACTTTTCTTATTTAGATATTCTTCATCACTGTCAATTAATAAAATTACACTAATTTTTCATAAGCAGTGTTTTTTTTAAATCTTGGTTATTGTTATGCATTGTAGCTTGCTGAATTATTAGAAAAAAAATAGAATTCTATCAAGCCATCAGACCTAAGGCATTTCTAAAAACACTATTGCTTTTTTGTTGATTAAACAAACAAAAATAAGTATCTGTAAAATTAAGTATCAGAAATAGTTCTGCAAGTATTCTATTCAGGTTTTCTGTGAACAGCTTCTCTTCATAAATGTTATTTTAAAATGCTATGAATTTCCTGTAGTTGATATGCAGACAGTCTTGAGTATTTTTAGGATCGTATAGTTATTGTGCATTCTACTTTAGCAGATAGTTCTATCTTAATTTTCAGAGTCAGCAGTAAAAAGTGTGTACATGTAAATATGCAGAAAATAATTTTGTCCTCAGGGAGAACAAAGCATTTACCCAGAAATGTTTATGATAATTCTGTCCAAAAAGAGCAGTCCCACAGCACCTTTAAACAGTTTTTATTTGGCTATGTTTCCTTCCTCTTTTTTTTTTTTTTTTTTTTTTTTTTTTTTTTCACTTTTTTTTTTTTTTTTTTTTAAAAACTTTTAGGAACATCATTTTTATTCTTTTTTTTTTTTCTTAGTGAAAAAAATTTACTTCATATTAATGCAATTCTTGTTCAAGAAATATGACACAGCTAAATAAAAAAATAAAAATATACAGAAACACAATGGTTTCACTAATGAACACATTTTATCCCTATACCTAATTAACTTTTTTTATCCCTACAGTTAATAGATATATATGATGTAATATATATGTACTTCAGAGGACCATTTATAAAGGGAGTTTATGGGGGGGTTGGGTTTTGTTTTTGTTCTTTTTTTTATTTCTGTTTTTGAACATATGAATACAGCATTTTAAGGTTATACATCTAAAGAAATATGGGATATATTTCCCACATGAAGGGAATTAAGTCTCTTATGAAAGAGGAAGCAGAAAGAGAGGGACAAGAATATTTTTGAGGAAGGAACTTAAGGTTGACTGAATTTTTCATAAAATATTTCAATTTTCATTAATGGTTTAACATTTTGATAATCAAGTGTTGATAATCTTTAATAGGACCCCTGAAATGGGACATTTTTTTCTCTTACAGCTGTGCATATGTTCTTACTTGCTTGCATACAGCTTTATGTGGAGACCTGAAAATAAGCAATAGGATTTTACTCAGCGTAAGCAAAGATGGAAGGTTACTGTAAATAAAAATAGATGGTCAATACACACTTATCTGCACATTTAGCAACATTTGAAGTGAGATATTGTTAACTTTATTTCCAAGCAGTTCTAGCAAAATTTTTTATTATAGGTCAAAATACTGGAATATTAAAGTTAAATATTAGAGATTTACGAAATGTTTCTGTCTCTCAGTATCCTTTAGTAAGTCACTTTTTTTCTGGTTCATATTGTCTTTGGGTTATGACAGTGTTCCTGGCAACAAAATGACCTACATGACATAGCACAGCGCATGTCTATGAACATATGGTCCAACATCTTGTACTCCTTTAAGAACACCATTGTGGTTTTCTCACATTAGCTGTGTTATCTGTTACAAACACCACACAGTTGGCCAGGAACAGGTTCAGCACACACAAAGATTTCTCCATTGCAATGACATTATTTTTAGTACTGTCCTGATTAATGGAGAATATCTTTTAGAACAAAACAAAATACAAAAATGCTGATAGAATTACTTTGGAATGTAAGACTAGATGAGAAATTCTGAGGTGGAAGTTTTTAATCAGTATGATTTCTAGCATCTGCCATCAGAGAAAACCACACTTCAGTTTTGTGTGCCTACCCTTTGGAGCACGAATAAAATATGCAAAGCTAGGACAACTTTCTGTTTTCATTCTAGACAGATAAAAGTTCTGCCCCATTTGTAATTTTCAGTCAAGACAAATACTTTTAAAATCTGTTTTCACAGATATTGTGCTACTGCAAAGGCAAGAGTGACTCAAATTATTTCTCACTAAAAATATACAATATCTGCATTTTTCAGAAGTGTTGCTTGGATCTACTCCTGATTCTTTATGTAGTGTAATTGCTCCACACTGCAACCACTGTCTTAATTAAAAATCTTTGTGCTTTATCAGTCCATATACGATTAGATTATGTGCCACTCACCAATACATTGCAGTATTGTTGTGTCCCCTTGCAAAGGGGATGATAATAATAAGCCCTACAACTAGCTTGCCTCATGTTCTTTTATCAAAACAATAAAACAGCATCTGTTTTTTAAAAGACTCACAACAACCTTTCCCTAAATGACAACTAAAACCAATTAGAAGCAGAACTCCACTAATAAACTAAAGAATTCTTTTACTCCTTGGTGAAGCATCATCCACACACGATGTTATAGCAGCTGAGGACTTCAATATTCTGACTGGTATAAGCATTCTAATTGAACATAATTTTAATGTTGTTTAAATGATTAGGCAAATTCTAAAGATTTTTCATACTGCTCTCTTTAATTTCTTTCTACCTCATTAGCCCATATGCCGATGTGTTGAAAAGTAGCCAAAATGTAATTTTTTGAGTAAGTACCAATAAATAATCTATTTAGAATTCAGTAACTTTAAAAGTTTTCGATAAAGCAGAATGCAAAATTATCTTTCTGAACAATGAATTTTTGTCTTTTGAAACTCTTTAAAAGAAGCATGGAATAAAAATCATAAATATCTAAAGATTGCCTAATATGTAAGGAACTGTTTACTAGTGGTAGAAAGCAATGCAAAAAACAGAATTTTTAGTTATATTTTTTTAAAGGCTGACATTAACTAAAAAGCAAAAGAAATAAATCAGGCACTTCACCTTTCATGCCATAACTCCCTTGTTTTTGGAGATTTTTTCCTAAGTGTAATCTTAAGTATCTCTTCTTGGACTATATTGAAATATTATGGTTTACTTAATAATGGATGGGTAATTTCTTTTAAAAGTAATTGAAGCAGAAACTGAGGGAGCAAGTAAACTATTTACTTGATAGGCAGCAATAAAATAGTGTTCTATAACCATTAAAAATTTTCATTTCAGTTAATAATTTTCTTTATGATTTCCTGTTTGATCCTCAATGGCAATTGTGTCTAGCTTTTCTGGTAACAAAATTGAACGTTCCAAAACACTGGAAATAAGCATGAATATGTATATGTATTCAAAAATCCTCTCAACTAAACTTTAAAGCAAAGCATAGATAACATTGCTTTTTATTAGTACTAAATATATTAGTTAAGTAGTTGAGAGTTGAGTACATAGCATTAGAGATGGGCATATCTGTGCAGTTTACTGCTAGTGCTACACACCTGCATTATGAAACTTCACATTTCCACCTTAAGATTTAGCCTGTCTTTATTGTTCATTAAAATTTAGTAACAACTTCTTAGCCAGTGGAACTACATGGAACAGTTATCACTGGTAAAAGCTGTTCACAAAAGAAAATTTGTGACTGTAAAGAATTTTTAAAAAATGGATTTGTGTTATTTTTTGCAGGATTTTCATTGGCTATATTACACAAATTCTCAAAGGATGTGGTACTGTCCATTTACACAGCTACAGTATCCAGGTTTGGGGTTTTTTGTGTTTTGTAAAAAAAATGCACTGATTAGGGCTGTATCCATTTACTGGGTCGAAAAATACTCCTTCCTTAGATACATGTCCACTGCTAAGAAATATAATAGAGACTTGAAGTCAGAGGAGTAGGCTCAATAAAATGTCAGATTTTCCTGTGTAAAAAAAGCTCTTCCCCTCCAATGTGTTTGCTGGAATTCAGTTAGACAGACTGATCACTACTTCAGAAGCTGTTTACAGAGAAAACATATATCTGTGCACTGTGCCCAGATGCAGTGCTGCTTATTATTTTATATCAATATTTTTTATTTTAATTTTTACTAATAAATATCTGAAACTCCAAACTTCTTTCACATAGAGATTTTCATGTAGTTTTTATCAAGTTTGAGTTTTTATTGACTATAAACCTATATTTTATTGAATATTCAGATTACTAGGTCAAACAGCACAAAATTTTACTTTCTCCTAAGACTAGTTTAAACTGTAGTCTTTATTTTGCAATCATTTTTAACAACCACATTGGAATATGTTGATATTAATCCAAGAATAATAAGGCAATTGAGGAACTTCTGAAGACAAATGGCACCAAATACCTTTAAAATGCAAAAAACCCCAAGAGCTAACTGGGACAACATAACACTCAAAAATGAAATTTCATAGTTCAAAAGGCAGCATCATGCATTTTAGTACTAGTACCAACAACATGTCATTGTCTGTTCGGGTTTTGTAAGTGTAGATATGATAGAAAGGAAAAAAACAAAAAATATACAAAAGGAAAAAATAAACATGGAGTTAATTTTACAGGGATAATGATATATTCAAAATATTAAGAATTCACCTAATCTTAGATGCAAATTGTTTTTAAGAAATATTAACAAATATGGAAACAATTTGAATCGTCCTATATTAGAGACTATTCCTTACAAAAAAGATCTGAAAAAATTTATTCTTACAAATCAAAGTGGAAATTGAAATTGCTGTTGTCTAGTAATAGAGCCTGTGAAAGCAGTAGCACACAAGGAGTGAAATGGCAGCATCTGCCAAAGTACCAATGTGTATGCATTGGCCATGAACACTTCCACCTAGAAAACAAGTTTATGGCCACCAGATAAAAAGTATTCTGAGAGAATAAGTAACAAATTGGAGACTGTTGACAAAAGAGTTGCACAACAGATGCAGCTGTGGAAAGTGATTGAACTTACTTGCCCAGGAATTTCTCTGCCAGTTCTAGATTCCAGTTGAACTTTATGCAAAAGAAACATTGGAATTTTTTGTTCAATGTTAGTTCAAGTAACAAAGCAAAGGTCTGGAAGTGCAAAAATGGTCTTTTTACTATGACATAAACCATCTCCCTCTTCCCTTGTTCCATGCTGAGATGAGACACTATGACTACACTGAAGCAGTCCCATATAAAATAATTCAGATTACCTTTTGGTAGATAGATTTCTCTACATTTCAGAAGACTTATAATTACTCTTATTTAAATTTCAACATTTAAATTTTTAAAATTTTAATCAAATAATTGCATAAAATAAAACTTTAAAAATAATTTCTTCAGGCAGTTGCTTTATTTCAGGCATTATTCACATGGTTAGATGGGAGGGCTGCAGCTCTAAGTCTAGACTGACCTCCAGGATGGCACTAAAAACCTCTTTGAAAGAAATCAGCTATTGAGCAAACTGGTTCCAGCAGGCTTTAAGGCATAATACACATTATGTTACTGTATTTTTTTCTTCTTTAATTTAGAATTTTCCAGTTATTGCCAAGTCATTAGATGGAAGTTTGCACCTATTTTGAGGAGAAATTGGGAAAAGTAGAACTTTTTCTTTTTTGTATTTCTGATTTTGAATAATAATGAAGAAATACATTGATGGTAAAATTTTAATGCAACAAAAAAAAAAAATTCTGAGTCTTTCATAAGCAGAACTAGTCATGGAGTGGAAGAAAAAAAAATTGAAATTTATGCATTAAATCTATAATAATGAAATAATGTCCACTGGAAGATGATTAGACTGTCATTCTCTCTTAATAAAACAAAATATTTTTTCAGTTGTATTTGTATATCTGATAACCTGCAGCTCAACTTTAGTACTAAAAATCCAAATTAGACCATTTGATTCTCTTTTATAGTTTTTCTTCAAACATATTCCCAGATTATTTTTCCATGATGTGTTCATGGATAATTATCCCCATTAGTAAAAAAGAGCAGGCAAGCTGCTCCCTGATTTTTTAAAAAACCTAATCACCTGTAATATTTTGTAATTACAGCCTTCTTCTCTAGGAATCTTTAAATCACAAATCCACATTCGTGTAAGTAATGCAGAAAAATATGTTTAAAAATATACTTTCCCTTGAGATTATTTTGTTATGACTCTCATTTTCAACAGATAACAGAGATAGAAGTGATTTCCTAGTACATAACAATGTTAAATTCCATTTATGCTATGATTAATTTCTCTACCAAAAATATAATGAACTCAAGCATTTTGTATTTTTACTCACCTGTCAAGAAAAGCTTTTAACTCTGCATCAAAGTGCACATTAATTTGTGAAAGTGCACACAAAGAATGGATGAGTTTGTTATATCATAACTATAAAAAATGGCCAAAAGAAAGAGTATTCCATAAATAGGGGACAATTATTAGCCCAATTAAGCTCTTAACAAACTAATCAAAATAAAAAAGAAATTTATTAATCCATTTGCAAAAATGCTCACACTTTGCAGTCCATAATAATACTGAAACTTCATCAATAATAGCATGAATCTCCTTGTTCAAGAAAACTCACGAGTACCTGTAATCTTTTCTCCACTACAGTTAGTCTTTTTTTGATTTCATTCCAGGTCCTAAGGTTGAGACTTTAGGCTCCTTGAAAGCAGAGAGATAGTGTATAGTTTTCTATAGCTGTTAAGTCTCAAAGTTTTCACTGCTGAAGCTGACAGGGCAGATCTTGTTTTATACATTTCAATGTCTCAGTGTATTTTGCTTCTGGGGTTTTCCAGCTAAAGCCTGCAAGGTATATGGTCACCTTTCTCAAGCTCCTTCCCTGTAAGTGTCCGTTGTTGTCACACTGGGACTCTCTGAGAGCCTCTGCCCTTGTTCACATTCAGCACTGACAGTGCTGCAACACCAACATGCTCATCAATGGTAAACTTGGCCATTAGACACTAGTTAAGGCAAGCTAAAAGGAGACAGGGCCAAGGCCAGCTCACATAGGTCTTAAGCCACTGACCAACGTAAGCCAACATGGAACAAAAGTCATAAATTTAGGGATTTTCCTCTTTGAGGAGAAATTGCTGTGTTTACTGTGATATATTTCTGTCCATTAATTTCAAATACTTTATTTTTGCCAGAGTATGCAATAATTATATCTACAATTCATCTTCTGCTCTAAAAAACTATTTCACAGGTTTGGTAAAATGCATCCCTTCAGAGTTCTTGAAAAAAAAATTAGGGGAGTGGGAACTTAAAAGTTCAGTCTTGGTATCTGGGGAAGAAAGTCTATATGCAGATAATTGAAATATCTCATAATTTGTAGAACTGTCAAGAATATATATTTTTTAAAAGTGCTATCTTGCTTAGCCCTGCTTCTTAGTCATTGTTTAGAAAGAACATATTAATCCATTAAGTTTCTTCTCATATTTTTTCCTTTTTTTTTTCTTTTTTAGCCTATAAATATATCATTTTAAAAATTGAGTATCTTATTCCCACAGTTTCAACTAGTAACTTTTCCCAGCTAACTCTCAAATCTATTTTGTCTTCTCATAACTAATCCAGTTCTAAAATGAGGTCTTCCTATCCAAAAGTTTTTTTCAAAAATTTGTAAT